AATCGAGATTTTTCAACTTTAGTTTTTTTTTTGTCGAAACTATTCATCAGTCAAAACGGCTCACATGTCCCTATCTCAACTTTTGATTCACTATTTTACTGATATTTAATCGGAACAGATACAGGGTGGATCAAAAATTGCGATAGGGACATGTGAGCCGTTTTGGCCGATAATAGTTTCGACACAAAAAAAAAGCCTAAAGTTGAAAAATCTCGATTTTGAACACCCTATATCTCTGTAATCATTCCCGCTAAACCCCAAGTGTGATGCATTGATGAAATCAGCTTTTCAGGAAGAATCTAAAAATACAATAAAATACAGGGTGTTCCATTTTGAAAAATCAATTAGTACTCTGTAGATCGTTTGTTCCGGGCACCTTGTATTTTCTGATGCAACGGGAAAAAAATTCTGAAGAATCATTTTAGATTATCTTTCAAATTTTTAAAGCGGTTCAAAAATAAATGAGCTAGACGGGGGGACATTTATGGTGAATCACCCTGTACTTGAGGGGAATAACTAATTACCATCAGAAAGTGTCCCTCAGAGGCCTCTATTCAATATAAAGTTCCTCATGACTCACCCTGTATCATCTAGCCTCGGAAATTCAATCGATAATCAATGATACCTAGTTAGAGGAAAATTGGAAGGAGGAAAAGAGATACATTCTTGATAAAATATGATGTAATACTTTAAAAAACACTTCAACGTTCTAACATAGCGATTGACGGCAAAGTCGTCTATTTAGTACTGACGTCATAATACCTTTTCCTGCGTTGCCATCTCTTTTATTTCATACAGATATCAAGTGAATATTTCTCAACTATAGAAGCGATTGAACTGTGAAGCGCCATTATCGATCAAATAACCCTTGTGAATTTCAAAGTTTTAACTCTTCAAATAAAAAAATTACAGGCTGTTGCATGTCTCCTGTTTCACCCGGTATACTTGCCAATTTAATGAACCTCAAATTCTGATGACTTCAGTTCATCCATGACATTGTTGAAATCAATTGAAACCTGATAGCAAGGAATGTTGAAATATACAAACGAGCTGAAAAATCGGTTGAGATGGCAACGCTGCCCTTCGTCACTGAATAGTGAATTGTCGAATTTTCTTGACGACTAATAGACGGTCAGTGAGTTATAGTACGTGTGACGTCAGTACCGCAGACGATTTTCCGTCGAGTTTAATGGGAGTATTTATTTAGGAAAACCTAGAAGAATTGATAAAAAAATTCTGCGCCTTTTCTTATCGTGGTGAACCGTTACCACCGATACAACAAGGCCAGCAAACTCTGACGTAAACAGCTCGTGACGTCACCAAGAGAGGCCAGTGTTTTATTTTATCGCTTGTCGACTAACGCGTCAGTTCGTGTTAATTTATCGGTGATTCACGTATGTTTTTGAAACGGTCCCGAATTCTTTTGTTGTTTATTCATCAAAATAATTGGCGGAAAAATTACTGTTTTGTGAAATATTTTGTGTTGTGATCGGCGAAATAACAATGCCTTTCAGGTGTTGTGTTCCCTTTTGTCGGGGGAATTATGTGGGTGGTTCGAAAGTTCATTCTTTAAGTTTCCTGTTGGACGAGGAGCTATCGAAAATGTGGGTATATGCAATTCACCGCGAGGATTTTAGTCCATCTAAGTTCAGTAGTAAACAGAGCTCAATTTATAATGATGAATTAATAATAGAAGACAATTACTCTCTCATAAAAAGAATAAGTAGAGAAAAAATAGAAAAGCTTTGATTGTGCAGTTAGTTTTGTATTTGTATATTATAGTCTCATTCATTCATAATTCTCATTCTCAAATTTCTTTCTGAAAGCGGTCATTTGCCTCGTGGCAATGAATGCAGAATTCATTCCAATGATCAAATTGCAACTATCATATTAACATGAACTACAAACACTCTACTTAAAAAGGTAAAACTGCATTTATCATGATATTTATCATGAAGATAGTTGACTATAAAGTTCCAAATTTCACCTGTCTTCTGGATGGCATTTAGAACAAATTTCCCTTCTTTTTTCATCATATTGGACAATTTATATATAATTCAACTATAAATATGATTTGTCCACGACTGTTGTATAAAATAGTCATAATACATGTACTTCCTCAAGCAAAACCATAGCCATTTTCCACACCAGTGAATAATAGCGGTGAATAATCATTATTCACTGGTCTAGAGTTCGTAGGGTACGCGATATATTTTTGTATTTAGCAAGCATTTATCAGTACAGTTAGGCTATAGCCAGGCACTTTAATTAGCTAACTTCATTTGGATCATGTTAAAATCATAGAAATATCTTCATATACCTACTCAGTATTACATTAATCTGTTTTTATAATGTATGTATACTCGAAATAAGATAATGTTAGTATCAAATAGACTATATCGAAGATGATCGAGTACGTAAGCCATTGACATGTATGACTTGACAAGCTCATCATAAATAGTTGTCATTGTTGAAACGTCAAATTTCAACGACGCGGTGCTTCAGTTATAATTCCTAAAAAATGGATATTGATAGTGACGAAGAGATATTGTGTACTCCACCAGAGATAACAGAAGCTGCAAAAGTCACGTCCATGAATTTGTTGCCGGAGAAATCCCGAAATCTGTATGTGTCTGTGTACAATACCTTCATGGACTGGAGGGCGACTAAGAAAATTCATTCATTCTCAGAGTCAGTTTTACTGGTATATTTCACGGAATTAGCTGCAAAATATAAGCCATCCACATTATGGACACATTACTCGATGCTTAGGAGTACGCTTAATATAAATCAAGGAATCAATATAGAAAAATATGTAAAACTGCATTCACTTCTAAAACGGAGGTCTGAAGGCTTTCATCCGAAAAAAGCAAATACATTTTCATCTGAAGAAATAAACAAATTTTTGATTCAGGCATGTGATGAGAAATATCTTGCAATGAAGGTAAGAAATCAGCTACATGGAAAAAACTTGCTTGAATATCATTAATGAAATAAAATTCTTTGTTATCAGGTCACAATGATAATGGGAATAATGGGTGCATGCCGCGCAAATGAAATGTATAACATGAAAATAGAGGACATAAAAGACCTTGGATCAGCCTATTTAGTAAACGTGCCATTTACCAAAACAAAAATCAGCAGAAAATTCACCATTACTGATAATTTTTACATGATTTGTAAAAAATACATCGATCTCCGTCCGGCATATGTAACTTCTCATGTATTTTTTCTAAATTACCAAAATGGCAAGTGCACTTCACAAAGGATCGGTATTAACAAATTCACAAAAATGGGGAGACAAATAGCTGAGTTTTTGAATCTGCCGAATCCTGAGAAATATTCTGGACATAGTTTCCGAAGATCGTCTGCAACCTTACTCGTCGATGCAGGTGGGGACATAACAACACTGAAGAGACACGGAGGCTGGAAATCCACATCGGTAGCGGAGGGCTACATTGACGAGTCAATTAAAAATAAAATGGATACAGCTAAAAAAATATCAAGCTCGATACAGGAGACTAATATTTGTAACTACCCAACTGATAATCTCAATCATATTAGTTCTATAAGCAAACAAAATATTGATTTAGATATAAACTCCCTACCTTCTTTCAATATTACCCATTGTACGAATATAAATGTTACAATCAATTTGAATAAATAGGCCCCATAGTTCTAGAAATAATTAATATAACAGATATCTTCAATTTTTAGTTTTCCTATTGTCAAATAAGTTATGATAAAACAGTTGTTGAAAATAAATTCATATATAAAAGACAATACAGTAGTCGTGGACAAAGTTTAGTATTCTACTCGCATATAATGAGCTATTATTCACTCAGGTTAATTATGCCACTCGCTACGCTCGTGACATAAACTTAACCTTCGTGAATAATAGCCCTCATTATATGCTTGTTGAATAATATACTATTTCTTGAGATTAATCCATATTTAGTGAAAAAAAGGAAGAATATCATTCAAAATAATGGCGTGTGTACTGTCATTCGAAAGCAATCTATTGACATTTGACATCTCGTATTTTGATTGACTATTGATTAAATGGTCGTCATCTGGAATGCTTGTTCACTCAATATGAAAAACTCGCCCTAAAAATCATATTTCCTGTTGAATTTTCTATATAAAAATGTGCCATCGAAGTACATCATGAGTATATAAAGTGTCCAATGACAAAATAAGAGTAAGTAGCTTCGAATGCCCCCAACACAAGGGTAGAAAGAAGGCGAAATTTCGAACTTTTTTTTGGAATATCTCAATAAATAGTGGTTTGTTCACATTTTCATTATAAAATTCGGTTTATCAGACAAAAATACGTGAGTACCGGAAAAAATTTTCAAAAAAAAACTATCGCATGATAAATGCAGTTTCACCCTTAAAAATTACGGTTTCAAGTGTAACGATCCACTTGGGTGAAAAATCCAACAACAGAAAATTGAAAACACTCACTGGTTATTTTTTCAGGTAATAGGAATTCTCCAAGATAAATATAGGTAATTGTAACAAACGGCATGTCAATCGAAATAAGATACATTTTCCACAATTTTCTTTCGATCAATCTCACGATAAGTTTATGTTCTGCGGGCCCTGTATAAGTAGGTGTGAAGTTTACCTTCACCACAATTTTTACCAATATATTTAATTCGAATGGGTTGCTGTAGGTGGATATTTGTGTTTTATCCTGGTTTTTGCTTTAAAACTTCGTTTTTCCATAATAAAATCGAATGGGGTGCGAAGAAGGGCTCAGTTGACGACTGGCATCCTTTTTAACCGGAAGCCCTTCAAAAAACAGCAAAATCGGCTCAATGATGATCTAAAACTAAAATCGAAATACGCGGTCGCCTTATAGCGCTATAAGCGCTTGTCGTTTCGAGCCGCTGGTTAGGCCTCACTAAGTGACGTCACCCTCGGAGCATGCAGGCCTTGTTGTATCGGTGGTAACGGGTGAACTTCATAGTATTTTTTCTAGAATTGATACATACCCCTCGGCTTCCGAATATATGAAACAGACCAGTCCGTTTCTTCAACGCCTTGCCCGTTATCGTCCCTTTCACCGTATAACCACTGTCTTTCAATTTACCACCGACCACTGCTAAACTGTTTATATTCGTCGCACTACCAGAATCACTACCAACTTTCGACAGGTCCTCGAACGGGAAGTCTTCGGGGGGTTGGAACCCGGATTTGTATTTTTCTATCACCGAATAAGTGTCCTGAAACGACGGAAAATTGGAATTGGACCACATGTACCGGGTGACACGTTATGAAGTACGGTGCATCCCATTTTGGATGAGACAGTCAGGTATTTGGGTTGTTCTGTTTTCCAAAACCATGCCCCGAAAAAACACGAAATGAGTGCGCCATTGGATTCTGAATTCTCTATGGGATAAGATTTAAATTTGACAATTTCGCTGAGAAACTTAGTAGATATTGAAGGAGTTCAAAGAGTATACATTTTCAAAATCGTCCTTCCCAATCAGCACCAGACATCTTAAAGACGTACATTTTACGACTTACTTACGTCTTTACGTCCAGGGACGTATAAAGTACGTCTTTAAGATGTAAATCCATGTACATCTTGAAGACGTACACGAATTTACGTATTTAAGACGTACATTTTAGGTCGTATCCACGTCGTTCCTCCCATGTCGTATAAAAGACGTCTTAAAGACGTACATTCCAGTACGTCAATTCGACTTATAGAACAATAATGTAAGTTATTTTCTGAAGAAAAACAAAATGTCATCTCTCCACGTTTTTTATTTTCAATTGTTCAGTTTTTTCTTATTTTCAACAAAAGTGATGTTTTTGAATTTTTTCGTCCGACATTTTGGAGCCTTCGTGTTAGATTCTCGAATTTTTACAAAAAAAATCATATTCTCCGACCCCAAAAGTCCCATAGTAATCAATTTTGAATAAAATCGGACTATAATCACAAAACTCGTCCGCCATTTTGAAGCCGACATCTTGGATTTTTCATTTTCGACAAAAGGAATTATAATCTCTGATCCCGAAATCTTTCAGATGCTAATTTTGAATCAGATCAGACCATAATCAGAAAACCATATGCCACATTGGATTCACCATCTTGAATAATGAATTTTGATTCGAATCGGAACATAATCAATGAGAAAATCGTCCGCCATATTGGATCCGCCATTCTGTTTTTTTCATTCAATAATAATATCACAACGAATTGTCACCGGAATAATATTTACTTGCCAAAATTCAAATCAATCGGACAATTTAAAGTGAGTCAAATTTAACTTGCACGTTCTGATTACAAACAGACACAAGGACATGTTAAACTAAGTAAAAGCTTGTTATGTGATATATAGAACGAACAGAGTAACAGAAGAAGTGAGTATGGTATAATCATCGAAGTCAACAAAGAGCGCGGTTAGTACTTGAATGGGTGACCGCTTGTGTCTACCGTTTGATGAAGTCGTTTATTTCCCTTTTTTTTTTGCTTGTCTGCACTTGTTGCTAACTTCAGTGCACAGGTGAAAATTAACTGAAACTATGTGATTTTTCCGTAATTTTAAAGATCAATTTGAGGTCATGGACCAAAAACACCTAAAAAAGAAGTCTTAAAGACGTACATATTAGTGGAAAATGTACGTTTTAAAGACGTCTCTTGGGCGTAATATGTACGTCTTTAAGACGTACTTATGTCCCGACATGTACGTCTTAAAGACGCCTTTAAGACGTACTTTGGCTGATTTGGTTTATCTCATAAACGAAAACATTCATACAAAATGTGATGATGTCATCTTGAGTTTTACAAAAAAAAGTGGCACAGGGCGACGAAAACAGCAAGGTTTTATTTCCAAAGATGACTGAGATATCACACAAATGCCAAATGTGGAAACCAAAAGACCTAGACGTTTCTGACTGGGACATTCTTGGGGCACTTTTTTACAAGGAATCTGAATCTGTCATTGTATTTTTCATGACGTACTTGATTCCAAAGTTACAACACACAACTTTGTTTTTTCTCGAGGGCGCCACAGAAGATACAACATTTTGGTCTCCTGAATTGTTTTGCTATTTTGCTGCTTTTCCGTGGAAAAAATAAATACCAATTCATTGTATCAATTTGTGCAAAACATTGCTCTAAAAACAAGGGTGAAATTGAATGTTTTGATTCATGTCCATAGACGTAGAATAAGAAAAAAGATTTATTTTGTTCAGATAATACATGTTTGACACTCTACACTCTGTATATTGAGAACTATGAATTCTCGGTCCAGGAAGGAGTAGTTTTCGATAATTCAAAGTGTGTCAAGGAATATTTGAAGAAAATGAATATTCATACTTATTCTATGCCTATGGACATTTTTATGCAATTGGTATTTTTTTTTTCATGGAAATGAAGCAAACTATCAAAACAACCCAAGAGACCAAAATGTTGTATCTTTAGTTGGTCTATACGTTATGAAGATACAGAGATCAAAAAAATCAGTGGCGCACATTTTATTGACAATAATATTCGGTAGGTCGTCCCCGGGACGCCACTGGATTTTATATTTCCAATTGAAATATGGCTATATCAGCTCGTCATGACAAAATATATCAGTGTCGAATTTCGAGTGAATCGGTGGAAGGACATTTGAGATATTCATAAAAAACCGATCTTTATTGAAAGTTTCAACACACTGTATGTTGAAAACTATGCATTTCCGAGATACACGTACACATAAAATGAATTTCTTATTTCATCATCTAGAATCACCCGCTTGATTTTTTGCGCATAATTTCCGGACACCCTGTATGCTTATATGATATTTCTAATCTTCGTCCTGTTGTATTTATTTGTATCTCCACTTTCTCACGTTTCACCATTTGTGAAAAATCTTGACCACTAGGCGAATGTAAGTGAACAAGTTTCTTCAACTCATCAAGAAAATGTTCCTTAATTAATAATAATTATGAAACCAGTCATAGTAGGAAACTGAATTCTTATGACAGTGTGAGGAGAGAAATATGAATATATTATATGATAATTGAGGAATTTCACCGAGTTGATTATGAATTACAGGGTGATTTCAGAAGAGTTGATATTTTGTCATTTTCATCATGGAAAATCTTTATTATCACCCTATACAGGGTGGGCCACCAGTAACGCCTCGGTCTCTAGAAGGCTAACCACTTATCTTCTTGGAATTCTTCCTCTTTAGGAAGTTGCATGTCAAATTCTTGAACTTGGAAAATCTCGATTTTTCACACCCTATATTTCAGTAATTATAACTGCTAGACCCCAAGTATGATGGGTCGTTGAAATCAGCTCATCAGGGAGAATCTCAAAATGAAATAATATATAGGGTGTTCGATAGAAAAAAGTTTAACTTCAGTGTTTTATGGTTTTGGGGGACACCCTGTATGTTTCGAAATAATTTTAAATGGTAGCCTATGTTGACATGCAACTTCCTATAGAGGAAGAATTCCAAGAAGATAAGTGGTTAGCCTTCTAGAGACCGAGGCGTTACTGGTGGCCTACCCTGTATATCTCAACGAAACCATTTTCTTACTATATCAGCTACCTTTGGGTGATAAAAATGTCCTGCAATTTACAGGATGTATATAAATGAATCGGTAATTTGTGAGACCAATTTCACAAAACATCCTGTATGAAATGTTATGAACCGTAATTCATGATAGTGAGGATAGTATATTGCATGCCAGAATAATTATCTAGATATTTCATGATCAAATGTTTTATTTCTCACCACCTGAATAATATTTTGTGATATGAAGGTACAGTCGTCTTCAGAGAACATGTCACACATGGACGGTGTAAGCTCTGTTAATCACCGCTGCAATAAGATCGCTCATACTGTCCAACCGCGACATGTTCACTGAAGACGAGTGTACGTTAATGACATGAGCGAAAAAAATACACAGAAAAAGATGCAATTTTGAATCATGACCTTAAGCTGCATTTTTCAAAATGAGGAATATAGTTAGCCATGATTTAGTCAAATCGGATTTTCTGATGTAGGTTTTGATGTAGGTACGACTCTTTAATAGCGAAACTAATATTTTAGTACTTGTTTAGTTTTGGCGTTTTACAATATTTATTCCTCCATTCTAGCTTGATTAAGAACGTAATTTTCAATGGCAACTCCCTGAACTCCCATGTTCATCGACACTTTATGAATGTTGCATTGAAAATTGAGGTTAGTTTGTGTTTATTTCTCTATTTAGAATTTCAAGAATTTTCTAGATATTTGTCCTGGTTTTTGATATGAAAGAATATTGTATATATTCTTGAAACATTTAATAGACCTACTTCAGTACCTACCGATCCAATCTCATTATTATAGTGTGAAAAATAAGTCAGGAAATCAAAATTGACAGTCGCCAACTGTATTGACATGCAAAAACACAAGTTGTAAGGTATAGGACCATGTGATACAGTGTCATTCATAAAGTCAGCATCACATGGGAAAAACTTTTATTAATGACTTATTTTGGAATTCGAGTTGGACGTTAAGTTTTGCTTCAAAAAAGATGAAAAATGGCCTACTCAATCGGGGTCACGTGACTTTCGCTGAATGTCAAAAGTGACATTTTTTCAAATTAATCGCTGAAAGTAGGCTTATTTGTTCGAATATCGAAAAAGTTTACTTGAAAAAGTTGTTTCTATTTAAATTTTACACATGCTTCTCGAATTTGATCTTTCTATTGCAACTTTTAGATTTTGATTTTTTTTTAATTTTTCGAAATTTCTATAATTTTTGAAGAATTTTCAATTCCACGAAAGTACTTCATACCAGTAGCTTTTTCATGCTACTCACTTCCAATTACTAATTATCACTGATTGTGGACAGAAATATGATTTTCTTCAGAAAATGATAATACCCGCTTCCAAATTCTGTTATGTTTGATGCAAAGTTGATATATCGTCAAGCATTTAGAAACTAAATTAATTCAAACTGATCTTTTCAGTACTGGAAAAATAAATTCAAATGAATTTCGTTTCTAAATGCTCGATTCAAACATAACAGAATTTTGATGTTATGTTTGCATCAAACATAACAGAATTTTGAAGCGGAGATTATCATTTTCTGAAGAAAATCATATTTTTGTCGATAATTAGTGATAATTAGTAATTGAAAGTTAGTAGCATGATGAAACTACTGGTATGAAGTAGTTTTATCGAATTAACAATTTTTTTAATACATATTACAGAAATTTCGAAAATTTTAAAAAAATAGCGAAATCTAAAAAATGTAATAGAAAAATAAAATCTGAGTCACATATGTAAAATTGAAATAGAAACAACTTTTTCAAGTAAACTTTTTCGATATTCGAACAAATAAGCCTACTTTCAGCGATTAATTTGAAAAAATGTCACTTTTGACATGTAGCGAAAGTCACGTGACCCCGTTTGAGTAGGCCATTTTTCATCTTTTTTGAAGCAAAATTTAACGTCCAACTCGAATTTCAAAATAAGTCATCAATAAAAGTTTTTCCCATATGATGCCGACTTTATGAATGACACTGTAGATGTGTGAAATTGATCATTCATCGTCGATCATTGTCATTTTGAAGTGACAAGATCGAAAAAAATTCTAAAAGGGATGGAAAACAAGGAATTGTTTTATGTAGAAGAAATCGAGACCCTCCAAAAAATTTTGAACATTCCCAATTTCGTAAAACATCACCACCTTCTATTCTTTTTAATATCGTATTTTTACTACATACTTGAAAACTTTTTTTTTATTTGAAACTCTGAGGAGATTGATTATATCAGTTGGATTTGCTGACGTTTCTAACAAATAAATAATTGACCATCCCATCAGTTATCTTTTTTATTAGCGAATTAATCATTTTCTTCACCAATGACTAATCTATTATTGATTGCATCGATCCAACGCAGTAAGGTGAGAATTATGACTTGTTCCTTAAAGTTTACTACTGAACAATATTATTTTATCTTGCTCTTAAACCAAGTGACTAGATATTCTTCATTCTTCATTATTCAAAAGACCCAGTATATTTTGATATTTTTGGATTCAGTCTAGGGACAACTCCGAGTAGGACCACATAGTTTAGAAAAAACACACATACTAATCTAAAATCATCAACGGGGTTGAGAATAGTTATTTGTTTAACTAGGCAGCAAAGTAGTAGATTGACTTCCGAGGCTGAATTCAGCTAAGGCAGTCAATCTACTTTGCTGCCGAGTTGAACATATAATTTTTTCTCCGACTGTTCATAATATCTCTTTATTTTTCCTGTAATGTTCAATTAAAATAAAATTTAGAAATCGAAGTTGTTGGAATGGTTGGTTGCTATGGAAATGTCCATAATAATTACAGTTTGACAATTCATGAAATTTCTGACAGTTGTGCGAAACAATATCGGTATATATAAATTATTATATAATGGACAGTGATAGCGATTTGGAAGTATTTACTCCTCCAGAAATAAGGGAGGTGGCAAAAAATATAGAGTTGAATTTGTTGCCGGAGAAGTCTCTGATGAAATATGAAGGAAATTATAAACGATTTATGGAATATTAATTTTGCTGAAACATATCAATCAGCAAAGTAACAACTTTGCTGCAAGGCAAGAAAAGTAATACTTTGCTGATTGATATGTGTCAGCAAAATTAATATTTGCTGCCAATCGGAGAAAAAATTATTATCGTGGACACCCGACATGAAAAAAGATCAAAATTAAGTATCGTATATTCAAAATAATAATAATCTTACCTCTTTTTCATTAATTATTTCTGCTGCTTTGAGAATCCCATCTAGACACTTATTTATTATAGGAAACACATTACGTTCAATGTTCACTGAAGCACAAATAAAGTTCTTGATATTTTTTATCCTCTTCTCATCTAACTCCTGTAATTGCCTAAATACTTCCGGTAATCCTGATCTGGAACAAAAAAAGGTGAAACTACCAACTATAGAAATGAAGGCTCTCAATCATTGTCTCATTTTTTATGCACTGAAAAATTAATGAAATTATTTTACATGTCAGCGTTGAAAAATTATTGAAAACTAGCAAACCTCGCAAACGTTGTTTTGCTATATACTTTTATTTCTATGATATATTTTTTCAGTTCAATATTCATAATATCCGACTCCTAAAACCCCAGATGAAAATGTTGAATAGAAGGGGAACATAATTACAAAATTCGTCCGCAATATTGGATCTACCATCTTGAATTCCCTAATTTTGATGATGGAATCATAATTTTTGATCCCGAAAACGCCCAGATAACAATTTTGAAGAGAGTCGAATCATAATTACAAAACTCGTCTGCCATCTTGAATTTCCTAGTTTTGACGAAAGAATCATAATCTCCGACCCCGAGAACCACCAGATACCAATTTTGAATAGAATCGGATCATAATTAATAAACTCGTATGCCATATTGATCTGCCATCTTGAATTTACAAAATCTGACGAAAGAATCTAAATCTCCGAACCCGAAAACCATACCAATTTTCAACTGAATCGGATCATAATTACAAAAGTCGTCGACGATATTGGATCCGCCATCTTGAATTTCCAGATTTTGAGGAAAGAATCATAATATTCGACCCCAAAAACCCCCAAATACCAATTTTCATTATTACAAAACTCGTTCGCTATATTGGATCCGCCATCTTGAATTTTCCAATATTGATGAAAGAATCATAATCTCCGACCCCAAAAAAATCTTAGATACCAATTTTGAATATAATCAGATCATAATTACAAAAGTAGTCCGCCATATTGGATCCGCCATCTCAATTATTCAAATTTTGAGGAAAGAATAATAATTTCCGACCTCAAAAACCCCCAGATGTCAATTTTGGATAGAATGGGAACATAATTACAAAATTCGTCCGCCATATTGGATCCACCATCTTGACAGGAGAATCATAATCTCCGACCCAAAAAGAACCAGCTACCATTTTTGAATAGAATCGGATTATAATTCGAAACTCGTCCACCATACTGAATCCGCCATTTTAAATTTTTCATTTTTTCCCCATAAAGACCTTCTCCTGACAATAACAAATAACAAACAAAGAAATTGGTGAAATCGGTACAGCCGTTCACGCGTGATGGGGTGACCAAGGAAAATAGACATTCATATACAGGGTGAATGCAATTCCTATGGGAATAAAAGAGACAGAAATACATCACTGGAGTGCATTAGACCGAGACTGCAGTTTGGACTCCTATAACCCCTATTCTCTGTCGCTAAGGTCATTAGATGACGTTGCAATGACGTTCAAAACTACGGAAAAATATCCTAACTCCTGGCATAGACTGAAAGTTAGACATGTTTTACAGTAGTTTTTAATGTCATCACAACATCATCTGATGACCTTGACGACAGCGAATAGGAATAAATTCGAGAATCTGGCCCCTGGTTAGTGAATAGAATAGAATAGAATTTATTTAGTATAGGGGACAGAACATTACATTAATGATATAAAGCAAGAAGCCTCTGAGAGATGTACATAATTTTTTCCATTTCTTCCTATATTGTGACAAAGGGATATAATTGCTTTATTGTTATCCTCTATTTTATAAGGTTCTATTGTGACTAATATTGATTTTATGATTTTTTTAACTAGGGAAGGTTTTGATTGGATTGATATCGTTTGGGAGCATTATTATTTATTTATTTATTTATTTATTTATTTGTGGATCATCCAAACAGATGAACCTTAGTGGTTCATCCTTTAATAGGAAGATACATAGTAACATGTAAGCATTATAACAAAATATCAATAGCTATGACAATATGTTGAGAGTTTTTACTTACATACTAAGGTGCAAATTTTATAGGTGCAGTAAGAAATACTAATAAAATAATAGTAGAAATAATAGTAATACACAAACTATTTTAATTATCAACTGATGTGGGAGCATAAAAATCAAGCAAGAATTATAGAACCTTAAGCACTGATAATAACAACATTTCTCAAAAACGGATGTCTTATGTAATGGAGATGAAAATGTTTCTTTCCGTATCTCATATTGTGAGAATGATTATGTAAGGAATCATTGAATATATGTTTGTTTTTGTATATAAAATTGACACATTCAAGGATATATGCACCAGGCAATGTCAAGAGATTAAGTTTTTTAAAATAGCCACGAAAAGATTCTGAACGTTTCAAGTTAGCCAGAATACGAATTGACCTTTTTTGAATGACAAACAAATACTTCTTGGTAAACATCCACTCCACTCACCTGAAATGTTGTCTTTGTAAATCGTTCGTCCGCTGCAGCTGCTGCGCGTACTCGTTCTTCGCTGAGTCGCACGCCTGCGTCTTCTGCGACATGTTCGTCCTTTGCTTTTCCACCTCCGCCCTGGACAGGTTGAAGTCGGCGTCGGCCTTCTGGAAGCCGTCGATCGCCTTCTCCGCATCCCTGAACGCCTTGTCGTACGCCTTTTTGGCCCTGTGCAGGGTCTCGATTTGAGTGTGCAGGGCCTGGGACAGTCTCAGGCCCTCTTGCAGTTGTTTCTGGAAACAAGGAATGAGGTGGGTCAGAGGTAGGCAAAGTTTATAAACTTAATTTAGTGTTAAGATGATTTTCAACTGGATGAAGAGCCCATGAAGTCATATTATTATGAATTCTTCTTTCTGTGAATTTCCAAAGCCTTCCACATCCAGATCGAGATAGGTTAAAATTGGTATCGGCCGATTGGAAGCCGTCGATCGCCTTCTCCGCATCCCTGAACGCCTTATCGTACGCCTTTTTGGCCCTGTGCAGGGTCTCGATCTGGGTGTGCAGGGCCTGGGACAGTCTCAGGCCCTCTTGCAGTGTTTCTGGAAACAAGGAATGAGGTGGGTCAGAGGTAGGCAAAGTCTATGAACTCAAGAGCCAATTTTCAAACTGGATCAAGAGCCACGGATGATTTTTCCCATGGAGTCATATTATTGTGAATTCGTCTTTCTGAAACTTTACAAAACCTTCCACATCCAGATCGAGATAGGTTAAAATTGGTATCGGCCGATTGGAAGCCGTCGATCGCCTTCTCCGCATCCCTGAACGCCTTATCGTACGCCTTTTTGGCCCTGTGCAGGGTCTCGATCTGGGTGTGCAGGACCTGGGAGAGTCTCAGGCCCTCTTGCAGTTGTTTCTGGAAACAAGGAATGAGGTGGGTCAGAGGTAGGCAAAGTCTAGAAACTTAAGAGCCAATTTTCAAACTGGATCAAGAGCCACGGATGTTTTTTTCCCATGAAGTGATATTATTGTGAATTCTTCTTTCTGAAACTTTACAAAACCTTCCACATCCAGATCGAGATAGGTTAAAATTGGTATCGGCCGATTTGAAGCCGTCGATCGCCTTCTCCGCATCCCTGAACGTCTTGTCGTACGCCTTTATGGCCCTGTGCAGGGTCTCGATCTGGGTGTGCAGGGCCTGGGACAGTCTCAGGCCCTCTTGCAGTTGTTTCTGGAAACAAGGAATGAGGTGGGTCAGAGGTAGGCAAAGTCTAGAATTTCAGGAGTCAATTTAGGGTTAACATGATTTCAAACTGGAGCCACGGATAATTTTTTGCATGGTCTCGATCTGGGTGTGCAGGGCGTGGGACAGTCTCAGGCCATCTTGCAGTCGTTTCTGGAAACAAGGAATGAGGTAGGCAAAGTCTAGAAACTTAAAAGCCAATTTTTAAACTGGATCTAGAGCCACGGATGATTTTTTTCATGAAGTCATATTATTGTAAATTCTTCTTTCTGAAACTTTACAAAACCTTCCACATCCAGATCGAGATAGGTTAAAATTGGTATCGGCCGATTGGAAGCCGTCGATCGCCTTCTCCGCATCCTTGAACGCCTTATCGTACGCCTTTTTGGCCCTGTGCAGGGTCTCGATCTGGGTGTGCAGGGCCTGGGACAGTCTCAGGCCCTCTTGCAGTTGTTTCTGGAAACAAGGAACGACGCAAGGTATAACATGAAGTTATAGTCATGTTGTAGCCATCTAGTGGCAAAGCTCTAAGGTAGGATTCAGAGATCGCGACACACACTGTATGGCGCTGCCATCTATAGTCACACGTAAAGACCCTTACGTCTATACGCTACAGAGTAGAACCACAAGAAGACCACTCTGCTGACAGATGGCACTACCTGACATACTTGAGTTGATTTATAAACCGACCTGTTCAAATGCTGGATCTCATAACTAAGAGATCCAGGATGACGATAACTTCACGTCCCAGTTGTCAGCATACTGAGAGCGGCTGATGAGACCTGGTGGGTCGAAACAGTACTGTCTCACTCCCCCTGACTATTGGGGCCATTCTGTTCATCATGGATTTCTTAGTTATGAGATCCAGCATTTGAACAAGGAATGAGGTAGGTCAGAGGTCGGCAAAGTCTAGGAACCTAAGAACCAATTTAGTGTTAAGATGATTTCAAACTGGATCAAGAGCCTATTGTGTTGGTACTTATTATCACCCTATATGTAATGTATTGGAATTATTATTATACATAGTAGTCACCTATCTAAAAGATGATGTACCTAATGCTGCACCAGCATGTATATCCCACGACCAGAAAAACATGATGGGAATTTCTAACACATTAATTACAATTTTTTACATCATACCTCAATTTTTTTACAATCATGGATTCACGGGAAATTGGTAGTGGTGCAGCTTTAGACTAAAGGTGCACCACGCCAACCGAATTTTGAAAATTTCTTGGATTTTGGTCGTCCTGTACCCATCATAATTTCTAACAAATTAATTACAAGTGTTTAAACATACAAACAACCCCAAAACCAACCCCCAACTCATTGAAATGATGGTATAAGTATCCAGACTCATATAATTCGATAATTACCACTCGAGTAAGAAGGAGAAAAAAGTATAATAGGTATGAGTACCTCATACTCCTGATAGTAATTTGATATATCTCATAGTTTTCTTCCAACCATTGGACTTTAAGCCCATTATACTTTTCTTGAATTACCTTTTTTTAATATACTTACGCGTATGAAAAATACCGGGTTATACCGGGGATAATATGAATGGATTTCAGTCTCCTTCATGAAAAAAGTATTTTCTCGTGTTTTCATCCACGTTGGAATTTATTACACTGCCCCACACAAACAGAAATGTATTCTGATGTAGAGAGAAACAAATTCTAAGATATTTTGTTTGAACAATAATTTCTTACACCATCCCATATGAATGAATTCCAGTCTTCTTCATGAAAAAAGTATATTCTCGTGTTTTCATCCACGTTGGAATTTATTACACTGCCCCACACAAACATGAGTATATTCAGATGGAGTGAAAACCATATGATAAGAGCATATCATATGGTTTTCACTCCATCTGAATATACTTATGTTTGTGTGGGGCAGTGTAATGAATTCTAACGTGACCGAAAAAATGAGTGCATACTCTTTTCATGAAGAAGACTGGAATTCATTCATGTGGGGTGGTGTAAGAAATTATTTTTCGAACGAGATCTCTTATAATACGGTTTTTACTTCATCTGAATATTCTTATGTTTGTGTGGCACAGTGTAATAAATTCTTACGTGACTGAAAACACGAGAATATACTTTTTTCATGAAGAAGACTGGAATTCATTCATGTGGGGTGGTGTAAGAAATTATTGTACGAACAAAATCTCTTAGAATATGTTCCTCTCTACATCAGAATATATTTCTGTTTGTGTGGGGCAGTGTAATAAATTCCAACGTGGATGAAAACACGAGAAAATACTTTTTTCATGAAGGAGACTGAAATCCATTCATGTGGGGTGGTGTAAGAAATTATTTTTCGAACGAGATCTCTTATAATATGGTTTTTACTTCATCTGAATATTCTTATGTTTGTGTGGGACAGTGTAATAAATTCTTACGTGACTGAAAACACGAGAATATACTTTTTTCATGAAGAAGACTGGAATTCATTCATGTGGGGTGGTGTAAGAAATTATTGTTCAAACAAAATCTCTTAGAATATGTTTCTCTCTACATCAGAATATATTTCTGTTTGTGTGTGGCAGTGTAATAAATTCCAACGTGGATGAAAACACGAGAATATACATTTTTCATGAAGGAGACTAAAATCCATTTATGTGGAGTGGTGTAAGAAATTATGTTTCGAACGAGATCACTTATAATATGGTTTTTATTTCATCTGAATATACTTATGTTTGTGTGGGACAGTGTAATAAATTCTAACGTAACTGAAAACACGAGAATATACTTTTTTCATTAAGTAGACTAAAATTCGTTCATGTGGGGTGGTGTAATAAATTATTATTCGAATGAAATCTCTAATACCTGATATGTTTTATCTACATCAGAATATATTTCTGTTTGTGTGGGGCAGTGTAATAAATTCCAACGTGGGTGAAACCACGAGAATATATATTTTTCATGTAGTAGACTCATATCCATTCATGTGGGGTGGTGTAAGAAATTATTTTTCGAACGAGATCTCTTATCATATGGTTTTCACTTCATCTGAATATACTCATGTTTGTGTGGGGCAGTGTAATAAATTCCAACGTGGATGAAAACACGAGAATATACTTTTTTCATGAAGAAGACTGAAATTCATTCATATGGGATGGTGTAAGAAATTATTGTTCAAACAAAATCTCTTAGAATTTGTTTCTCTCTACATCAGAATACATTTCTGTTTGTGTGGGGCAGTGTAATAAATTCCAACGTGGATGAAAACAGGAGAAAATACTTTTTCCATGAAGGAGACTGAAATCCATTCATATTATCCCCGGTATAACCCGATATTTTTCATACGCGTAAGTATATTAAAAAAAGGTAATTCAAGAAAAGTATAATGGGCTTAAAGTCCAATGGTTGGAAGAAAACTATGAGATATATCAAATTACTATCAGGAGTATGAGGTACTCATACCTATTATACTTTTATCTCCTTCTTACTCGAGTGGTAATTATCGAATTATATGAGTCTGGATACTTATACCATCATTTCAATGAGTTGGGGGTTGGTTTTGGGGTTGTTTGTATGTTTAAACACTTGTAATTAATTTGTTAGAAATTATGATGGGTACAGGACGACCAAAATCCAAGAAATTTTCAAAATTCGGTTGGCGTGGTGCACCTTTAGTCTAAAGCTGCACCACTACCAATTTCCCGTGAATCCATGATTGTAAAAAAATTGAGGTATGATGTAAAAAATTGTAATTAATGTGTTAGAAATTCCCATCATGTTTTTCTGGTCGTGGGATATACATGCTGGTGCAGCATTAGGTACATTAAAAGATGACATGTTTAGTGTTAGTCGGTCTTGTATTGTTTCACCGCTTAAGTTGGTTATTGAACATCTCTGAAGAACCTACGAGTTTAGTTATTACTCCAGCTACACTGTAGAGTTATACACAACAGAGCCATGGATGATTCTCTCACATGAAGTCATATTATTGTGAATTCTTCTTTCTGAGAATTTCCAAAGCCTTCCACATCCAGATCGAGACAGGTTAAAATCGGTATCGGTCTTTTGGAAGCAGTCAATCGCCTTCTCTGCACGCCTTGTCGTACGCCTTTTTGGCCCTGTGCAGGGTCTCGATCTGGGTGTGCAGGGCCTGGTTCCCACGAAAAGGGATATCCTGTAATGTTCAGAGAACATCGTGAGAACCAAGGGAAATAAGGTAGGAATTGATGTTCTTCTTAAATTTCTGGAGGTTATATGCCTCGAGGAACACCTCTTTTAGCAATTTGTTCTAGAGCCTCGCTATTCGTTGGATGAACGAGTCTTTGGAAATAGATGTTCTGCAGGTCTCCAAAGTGACCACGAAGGGGCGCGAAGCCTCAACTCGACAAGTTAATCTCGCGGGGACTGCCAAGGGAGGAACAATTGTTGATATTTCAGAAGAGCATCGTCCATGAAAATATCTATGAAATAGAGTCAGATCGCCAACTTTTCTACTTTGTTCCAGAGAAGTGAGTGAGTTTGTGAGCGAGGCATCACACACGAGACGAATTGCCCTTTTTTGGACAGAATCCATTATTCGGAAAAATACTTCGGTCATATTATATTACTCACTTTCCGTTCATCTTTCAAATCCTTCACTAGCGCCGTCAATTCCTTTATCACATTAGCTTGAAGGTCTTCTGCCACGATTTCATGTTGCCCTGCAAGGTCGTTGATTTCGTTCATGAGGGCCTTGAACGCCTTGCAGGAAGTGAATCTGAAAAATAGACACAAATTATGTCACCACCTAATTCAGTAGCGCATCTAGGATTTAGTTCTGGAGGGGGTAAATATGTTGAAGTATCATTTTTTCAATACAGAAATTTCGTAGATACTGAAAATAATACCTAGAACTGAAAGTTGAGACAGATGTGTGAAATTGAAATAGAAACAACTTTTTTTCGTGAACTTTTCGAACAAAATTTGATAGGTGAGCCATTTTCAGCGATTAATTTAGAAGAATGTTACTTCATTTGACATTCATCGAGTCACGCGTGCACCGAGTAGGTCATTCTCTATCTCTTCTTGAAGCAAAACTGAATAGTCAAGTCGAATTTCAAAATTTATTATTATTGAAAGTTTATCCCATATAATTCCTGAAAGACAGTACCTATAATGAGAATAAGTAGGTAATAAGTATGAGATATTCTATTTTGCCCATCTTCCATAATTCATACGTTCGACAGATGGACATAACTGACAGAACTTGACAACTTAACAATGTGATCGAAGATAATCTCAATATTTGGTTCTTCCAGTTCACTTCGATTCACAACCAAGCATTAGGTAGGTGGGCAAAATGGATCGGAATGTGAAAGAATGTATGTTCATACTGATTCAAAATAGTTAATTCTAGTGATATATATCGGTTGGTTCGGACGAAAGAATATCACTACTATCGTTGAATAAAATAATTCCGTGAAAACAATTCATTTCATTTCACTTCAGTTAATTTTTTTCTAATCCTTAGGGGGGGTATTTACCCCCTGTACCCCCCCCCCCTTGGATGCGCGCCTGCCACCTATCCCAGGGATTCCGCTGACGCAGCTTGTATCCCCATCGCCTAAGAAGAAGATGCTGAGCTAGACAATAGTCTACCTTATTCCTAAACGCACTTCAGCCGGCAGTCAGAACTTAGTTTTTATACCGTTAACATCATCTCACATGAATCATTGTCCATTTTGAATAAGAGAATTGTTTTTAAAAAGCAAGTCCTTCGGTCTCAAAAGTTATTTCACAGTTTTTACGATTCAGTCCAGTTCACAGGATATAATATGGAAAAAATATTGCAAATAATTGACAAAATTGATAAAACCATTGAAAAATATTTGTTTACTGTTTACGTATGTGAAATGGAATTTTTATTTTATGGATAATATACAGGGATATCAAACAAGTCGGCACTATTGCTAATTTGGTTATCATTGGACGAATAGACAAACTAGTAGTACTGTTTCGCTGATTACGATAGAGAAAGAAAAATCGAACATCGCGTTCACGGGTTATGTCAAAATGTATTTTTTTTTTTAATTAAACACCCAGTATACAGTATTCTCAATCGATAGAAAATTCGATTCTGAACAAAAACCGACCCATAGTCTTTTATTCCACATTCAAAAATGTCTAAACTATCGATGATTCTCGATGATGAAAAAATCCGGAATACCTGACGAAGTGGCAACATTGGTTATAACATTTTCAAATCCACCACATTTTGAAGTCACACTGTACATAAATTCAAAAAAATCTAACAACAGGTTACCGAGATATTCACCATACATATCAGCAACCCTGTATTTTTCCATTCCGATTTTTTTTAAAGAAATACGCTGAGCATAGCACCCACTTCTACAGAACTGTACACAGATATTTTTAAGGGAATTTATTACACTTATACCATTCTTCAATATTGAATTTGCTATACCGGGTGGCTACGGAAGTATTGCCTACGGAATATCTCAGTTATTGTATGAAGTAGGTTTGTGAAATTTGGATCGTCGATATAATGACATAAGAGCTAGAATTTGAGCATATTGACATGTCGAAGTTAACTTCCGGTCTGACCAGAAGTAACATCAACTTTCTTATTTTAAATGAAAACCCTATTTTTTTTCTTTTCGCTTTATTCAGCATTCAATTTCCTTTCTAATGACATATCACAAGTTGTTATCTAACCAGAAACTAGATCAGAAAAAATTATTATTGAAATTCACCGAGTAGGCCGTGGAAGCAAAATGAAAGCCAAAAATTCAAAAGTTGACTATGGAAACCATACGTCACTTGATAACAGTTGCTACTACTGTGATTTTATTTTCATTCGTCGGCGTTATAAAAAGCCGCCAAAAAAAATATTGGAAAAATTGTGAAAAAACAATACTCTGTAGGTCCATAACTTAAAAAGGAACATACAACTTTTTCTTGCCTGTACTATTCAGCATAACCATTCCTTTCTAATGATATAAAAGAAAGTCATTTTTTGGCTTTCATTTTGCTTCCACGGCCTACTCGGTGAATTTCAATAATAATTTTTTTCTCATCTAGTTTCTGGTTAAGCGGAAAGAAAAAAAATTGGGTTTCCATTTAAAATAAGAAAGTTGATGTTACTTCCGGTCAGACCGGAAGTTAACTTCCACATGTCAATATGCTCAAATTCTAGCTATTACGAGAGCTATTATGTCATTATATCGACGCTTCAAATTTCACAAACCTACTTCATACAATAACTGAGACATTCCGTAGGCAATACTTCCGTAGCCACCCGGTATACATTATTTCTATAATATATTTTTTCGGTTCAATATGCATCTATACACTATTATTTTATTTTCTACTTATTTCAAGTTTAGCTAACTATAAAAGCGTGTTTCTTCAGTTTTTCAAACTACCATTTATTTCAACTTCTTTTTGGTTCACTTCAATTTCCCAATTTTGACGAAAGGATCATAATATCCGACTCCTAAAACCCCAGATGAAAATTTTGAATAGAATCGCAACATAATTACAAAACTCGCCCGTAATATTGGATCTAACATCTTGAATTCCCTAATTTTGTGAAGGAATCATAATTTTTTATTCCGAAAATGCCCACGTACAAATTTTGAATAGAATCGGTATATAACTACAAAACTCGTCCGGTATATTGGTTTCATCGTCTTGAATTTCCAAATCCCGACCTTTCCAAATTTTGATAAAAGAGTCATAATCTCCGACCCCGAAAACACCCAGATAACAATTTTGAAGAGAGTCAGATCATAATCACAATACTCGTCCGCCATAATGAGTCCGCCATCCTGAATTTTGACGAAAGAATCATAATCTCCGACCCCGAGAACCACCAGATACCAAATTTGAATGAAATTGGATCCCAATCACAAAATCTGCAATTTTGGATCCGCCAAGTTGAATTTTTTATCCTTGACGAAGGAATCATAATCCCCGATCACGAAATCTCCTAGGTACCAATTTTGAAAAGAATCGGATTATAATTACAAAACTCGTCCGCCATATTGGTTCCGCCATCTTGAATTTCCAAATGCCGCCCGAATTTTCAGATTCTGACGAAAGAATCATAATCTCCGACCCCACAAACCCCCAGATACCAAGTTTGAATAGAATCGGACCATAATTACAAAACTCGCCCGATATATTAGATCCGCCATCTTGAATTTCCCAATGGTACCGGGATAAAAAGTATCCTATAACCCTACCCTGGTTCTAAGCTACACCAATTTCAGCCAAATCGATCCAGTAGTTTCGGAGCCTATTCAATACAAACAAACAAACAAACAAATCTTTCCTCTTTAAAATATAAGTACAGGGTGATTCACCATAAATGTCCCCCCCTCTAGCTCAGTTATTTTTGAACCGATTTTAAAATTTGAAATATCATCTTGAATGATTTTCGATAAAGTTTTTTTCCGCTAGATCAGAAAATATAGGGTGCTCGGAACAAACGATCTACAGGGTACTATTTGATTTTTTTAAATGGAACACCCTATTTTTCATTGTATTTTTAGATTCTCCCTGAAGAGCTGATTTGATCAATACATCACACTTGGGGTCTAGCGGGACTGATTACAGAGATATAGGGTGTTCAAAATCGAGATTTTTAACTTTAGGATTTTTTTTGTGACGAAACTATTCATTATCGGTCACGCGGTTTTCATGTCCGTATCTTGACTTTTTATTTACTATCTACTGACATTTAATAATTGGAACAGATACAGGGTGACCAGAATTCTGAATCTTGAACCACCCTGTAAATGTTCCAATTAAATTTCACTAGATAGTAAATCGAAAGTTGGGATGGGAACATAGAAGCCGTTTTGACCAATAATGAATAGTTTCGGCACAAAAAAATCCTAAAGTTGAAAAATCTCGATTTTGAACACCCTATATCTCTGTAATCATTCCCGCTAAACCCCAAGTGTGATGCATTGATGAAATCAGCTCTTCAGGAAGAATCTAAAAACACAATAAAATACAGGGTGTTCCATTTAAAAAAATCAATTAGTACTCTGCAGATCGTTTGTTCCGAGCACCCTGTATTTTCTGATGCAGCGGGAAAAAAATGTCAGAAAAATCATTTCAGATTATCTTTCAAATTTTTAAAACGGTTCAAAAATAAGTGAGCTAGAGGGGGGGACATTTATGGTGAATCACCCTGTACCTATAGATAACATACGCATGCCCCTTGTCACAATATCTTATCTGCGATCTAATGTCGTGTCACACAGCACAGAATTTTCCCATAGAGAATGATTCAGTTTATTCTGAATATTTTATTGTGTTCAATAATGATCCATTTTTTGAGTGAAAATTTGGCCCGTACAATGGGCGTGTACAGGGTGGCCAACTAAGACTCCAGAGTTCGATTTCTCTGTTGTCTTGAGAGATACAAAAAAAAAGTCATGCATCAAAATTGAAGTAATAATCGAGCTTCACATTTCAAAATTTCTTTAAAATACACAGGGTGTTCCGTAAGGTCACAGCACATCGAAGCTATGTTTTTTTCATTGGAACACCCTATATTTTATTTCATTTTTGAATTCTCCCTGAAGATCTGATTTCAACGTCGTATCATACTAAGGGTCTAGCAGTGAAAGTTACTGACATATAGGGTGTGCAAAATCGAGATTTTCCAAGTTCAGGATTTTTTTCTGTCGAAACTGTTCATTATTCGTCAAAACGGTTTACATGTCCCTATCTCAACTTTTCACTCACCATCAATTGGTGTTCAATTGACATTTAATTGAAATAAATTATAAATTTAGATTTTTTGACCACCTTGTATCAATTTCAATTGAACACCAATTGATAGTGAGTGGAAAGTTGAGATAGGGACATGTAAACCGTTTTGACGAATAATGAACAGTTTCGACAGAAAAAAATTCTGAACTTGGAAAATCTCGATTTTGCACACCCTATATGTCAGTAACTTTCACTGCTAGACCCTAAGTATGATGGGTCGTTGAAATCAGATCTTCAGGAAGAATTAAAAAATGAAATAAAATATAGGGTGTTTCGATGAAAAAAACATAGCTTTGATATGCTGTGACCTTACGGAACACCCTGTGTATTTCAAAGAAATTTTGAAATGTGAAGCTCGGTTATTACTTCAATTTTGATTCATGAATTTTTCTTGTATCTCTCAAGACAACATAGAAATCGAACTCTGGAGTCTGAGTTGGCCACCCTGTACACCTTAGTAGAAATTTCAACTCAAACCATTTTATAATGATCCTTTTATACATAAATATTGATTGACGACATAATTCGATCGAAAAATTAACTGGAATGTTTCATTTTTGGACATAAATAATAGTACCTTCTGAAAACGGACCCTCTTATGACCTAGAAACCTCATCTCGTCATAGTTAAAAGAAAATACCAAACACACGACGAAGACTGAGGCAACTGATATATCAATTCTTTCAACTGTGATCTCGCGCTAATTCACTCTGTCAGAAATCATGTATCATTCATCTCTGTCTGGAATAGTCTCGTTTCAGTATTAGGGTTCTGACGTCACATCATCGCCTCGTTTTCAGAGGTCCGAAAAATTGGGGATTTAAATAATTTTTAATAAAACGTAGGGAGCTCACAGCAAGAAACGGTTTGCGGTGGTGAGCTAGTTTAGGTGAGTTCTATCGAATTATGAAATGAAATGAATGAAAATTGTGATATAAGCCCGTGACTCTGTATCAAAACTTGCCCGTATTTCAGGTCTAGGTGATAGGAATAACTAATCGATTCAGAAATCGCAATCAGTTTGATCTTCAACATGCATATTTGCGTAATTATCTCTGATTGGAATTATTTTCGAATCCATATGTTAAGTTAATAAATGGTTATGTTGTTGAGGAAAAGGGGCAAGCCATTAAGTGTATTTTTTCAAGGTTGCTACATGAATAGATTGTTTGTACGTGTAACATGCATAAATATTTAGATTATATTACGCGTAATACACCGTGATTCAGAGATAATTTTCCGGGAATTGATTCTGTGGCTCGAGCCGCACCAAATATCCAAATATTTTGAGAGTGATATCACAATATCCGAAAAATCATCCAGGTGGATTTGATTTTGTCTACTAGGTATGACAAATTCATACATTAATAATTAACAAATTTTGATACATTTATCCTATCTGATCCTGCTGACGAGAAGAGAAGCTTGAAATGATGACATCATACTGGATCTGTGTTAGAGATGCCTTTCTGCATCACGGATACAATGTGTCTCAAATTGGGGAAATACAGTGTGTCCCACTTACCATGCTCACCATGGGTATCTTTTTAACGGTGAGAGATACGAGGTCGGTTAAATGACACCAAATGTGGAGTTTGTCAAGGCCAACTATAATGTGAAAAAATATTCTGATAAAATCTATTCGTTTTTGTTTTATACGCAAAAAACAGATTTGGATCATTCTCATGCCTCCTCCGTAACTTCTTTATTTATGAAAATATTCAAATAGGAATTTCACTTCTCATGGCAGTTTTTCAAAGTGATTTCGAAAAAAATATGAAATTTATACCAACTCTTCTAGAATTTGAGATATAAGCACCAACTTTAGTTTTTCAAATGTAGGTCATAGCTCACTATGACTCAGTTACAAGAATTTTTTTTTCTCTTACAGATGATATGTCGCAGTAATAGTTTTGTGTTGATAACAACTGAGTTATCGTCATTTATACAAAAACAAAAAATTATTTGGAAGCCGCCATCTTGAATTTATGAATTTCAACAGAAAAATCATGATCTCCGACCGCAAAAACCCCCACCTACCAACTTTGAATGAAATCGGACCAAATCTTGTCCGCCATCTTGGAGCAGCCATGTTTTGTATGATTTGGTCTGATTCTATTCAAAATTGGTAGGTGGGGGTTTTTGAGGTCGGAGATCATGATTTTTTTGTTGAAATTTATAAATTCAAGATGGCGGCTTCCAAATGATTTTTTGTTTTTGTATAAATGACGATAGCTCCGTTGTTATCAACACAAAACTATTACTGCGACATATCATCTGTAAGAAAAAAAAAAGTTTCTTGTAACTAAGTCATAGTGAGCTATGACCTACATTTGAAAAACTGAAGTTGGTGCTGATATCTCAAATTCTAGAAGAGTTGGTATAAATTTCATATTTTTTTCGAAATCACTTTGAAAAACTGCCATGAGAATGTGAAATTCCTATTTGAATATTTTCATAAATAAAGAAGTTACGGAGGAGGCATGAAAATGATCCAAATCTGTTTTTTGCGCATAAAACAAAAACGAATAGATTTTATCAGAATATTTTTTCACATTATAGTTGGCCTTGACAAACTCCACATTTGGTGTCATTTAACCGACCTCGAATCTCTCACCGTTAAAAAGATACCCATGGTGAGCATGGTAAGTGGCACACACTGTATAATTTGCTGACCAAAATTATTAAAGTATTCTGACCAAGCATTTCTGGTTCGAATTTTTTCTTAAAATTGCATATTGGGACGAATCATCTGATTTGTCCTACTACACAAATATTGAAATAAAACTCATATTTAGAAAATCCCAAATAATCAAGTAAAATGAATGTAACACCTCCTCGATTAACCTACAGACATATTACCACATCTTCATTATCTACTATTTTTCATTCTTAAAGTTTCTCTTGGCAGTAGTAGGTAAATGCGCTATTCACAAAATAACCATGATTATGCAAACTTAAAACCACATAGTCATAATAAGTGGATCACGTAACAACCAGTATATGCACTACTGGACACGTACCTATATTATTTAATGGTATAATGAATAAATTAAAATAGGCAAGAGTCATATCTTGTACTTTATTGAACGAAAAAAATTAATAATTGAAAGAATCGAGGAAAAAATTTACCAACGCAGTTTGTTTTAACTGTTTATGGTTTATATCCAAAACAACTTCAAAATCAACATTAAGGTATTATAATGATGGGAAAAATGGGACATTCAAGGCGTTCGAAGATAATTTAAATGGGCACTTAAGAACCAAGCATAGGAATATGCCAACTAATGATTCTGGCAAAGAAACAACAAATAACGAAATAACTGTGAGACTTGTTTTTGTTTATATTACACAAGATCGTAGAGGTATGTTAATCTGTGATCGTAGTCAATAGAAGGGTAGAAATTCTGAAAAATGACTCATAATAATATAACAGATAAATTATAATTCGCCTCAGGACATTATTTCTCACAATAGTTTTTTCAATACTCACTGGTAATCATCTTCATCTTTCTTCTTGGGTTGATAACTTTTGACTAGTCTCCTATAACAAAAAAATAATTTTAAGATAGATCTCATACGAGAACAAGTTATTTCAATAAATCAATTCGACGGGAAATGTTGGTTTAAAAGTATAGGTACACAGAAGAAAGTGCTGTGTATTAAACAATCTCATAAATGGATGGTGTTTTATACACTGACAAAATGTTTGTAAAATCAACAAGATACATCTATGTAGTTTGATATTTGATATTTTATTATATTAATAATATTTTTAATATTATATCTTTCTAAACATAGTAATCATGTCTTAGTTGAATAATATGCTGAGGAATACTCTCATTCAGCTTAAAATCTACGTAAAAATTGTTGGAGGATCAAAAAATTTTGTGATAGGATCGCAATTCCGTCAGTGGAGTAGAATTTGGGAGGGATCAACCATTCCCGTGCCCCTGTAGTACGCCTCTGGTAGTAGCCAGAAACGTTCATTCAACATTATTTGGAGGGTTGTACAGTACTTACACTCTCCATCAAATATGACAATAATACGTCGAATCATTTCAAAGTACTGCTGGGCACAAATGATTTTGAAATTTTCAAATTAAACACCCTGTAACTCAGGCTGGAGACACATTTTATCTAGGTGATTTGGGATGAATCATCATATTTTGAGTTCATAAATGATAAGGCCGATAGAGAATTAAAAAAATGTTAGTACTTCATATAAAAAAAGTCTATCGCACTTCGTTACGGAATTATTGACCTTGAGAGTTCGAAGTGGAAAAATATATTTCCGTCGACCTCGTATTAACGACTAAGTTTAATGTATATGAAATCGTTCATTAATGACCCCTATTAATGGACGATTTGTCTATTAATGCACGATTGTTTTATAGGCAACCAAACATACACCGCGTGCATTCATTGTTTATGCTATAACTAGCGGAATCTGCATTTTAATCGAAAATATGGATTTCATCGACGATTTTCGGTTAACGGGTTCGCCTTTCCAAGTTTCTGACACGATTTTAATCCCTGTTTTCTAACACAAGGAATTTATTTCCTATGTTGATTATTTCGACAAATGTCAAATGTCACTAATGTCAGTAACAAGGCTACGCTACTGGGTGATTTCGAGGGTGATTTGGATGAATGATGAATTCGCGAACCAAGTTTTCTTCATTGCAGGAGAAATGAGAAATATTGTCGACGGAAAAATTTTGTAACCAACTTGTATATTAAAAGGCGATTAATACACTAGTTTGTTAAATAACTATTTCCGTCGACCTCGTATTAACGACTTAGTTTAATGTATATGAAATCGTTCAAAAATGACCCCTATTAATGCACGATTGTTTAATAGGCAACCAAACATACACCGCGTGCATTCATTGTTTATGCTATAACTATACGGAATCTGCATTTAAATCGAAAATATGGATTTCATCGAAGATTTTCCGTTGACGGGTTCTCCTTTTCAAGTTTCTGACACGATTTAAATCCCTGTTTTCTAACACAAGGAATTTATATCCTATGTTGATTATTTCGACATATGTCAAATGACACTTATGTCAGTAACAAGGCTACTGGGTGATTCTTAGCAGTTTCCGGATGGATGATGAATTCGCGAACCAAGTTTTCTTCATTGCAGGAGAAATGAGAAATATAGTCGACGGAAAAATTTTGTAACCAACTTGTATATTGAGAGGCGATTAATGATCTCGAACATTAACGCACTCGCTTCGCTCGCACGTTAAAATATCTAGATTATTAATCGCCCTCATTAATACACTAGTTGGTTAAATAACTATTTCATGTCTAACTTTTAGACGGTTGCCATTGGATCAATGATATTCTGGCAACTAAATGAATTCATACTAATGCTCCTTTCGATATGTAAACGGATGTTCAGTGATTATGTTTCATACAGGATGGAACGAATTGTTTAGTAGAGGCATTTTTGACAGAGGCGACGAATTTGACTTTTTGCGTCCACTATTTGATGCCTTGATATTTTTTTTACAAAAATGGTATGATTTATTTCAATCGACATCTTGTGCCGTTCTAAAGAAAATCGCATTTATTTATTCAATAACATCATGGTAGTGTCAGAATAAAAGTTGAATGTTTATATGTATTTGCAGAAACTCTCAAGGTCAATAACTCCGTAACGAAATCGGTAGCGATTTTTTTTTATATCATGAAGTACTGATCCATCATTTACGACATTACCTTTCCGGATACCCTGTATTTGCAATTAATAATGAATCACCCTGTATGGTGGAAACATTGTTACCTATATAAATTCATTCAGCTCAGTGATTGCGTAAATATATTGACTCATTACTTTTAGACTCGCTTCCAACGCATTCGAACTAAAATATGGTACACTGATACTGAATACAAAGTGGTTCATTTGTTTTCACTCGAATTCCATCGTTAACCAGATAATGGTGAGAATTTTAAATTTCACAGATTACACAAATCTACTCCACGAAACTGCACTTTCAATTATTCATTATCGCTAAAAATGAAAGTGATACTTAAAACGTGAAAATTTTGGATAAGTAGTTGCAGAAATATGTGAAATTCAAGTGCTGCTGGTCACATGAACACCAGCGTAAACACAATAAGTGCCAACAACGAGTTATGGTGAAATTTTTGTACCGGGTGTACCACCACCAGGACGCCGACTGTATCTCGGAAACTATTTGCCGCACAGCTTTCGGAAAAAAATATTCATGATAAAAGTGGCCATGAAAAATCTCTGGAAATTATTTTCAAGTTTCCAGGACAGCCGCTAGAGGGCATAATTGCATTGGCCAACTTAAAAAACGGGTTTTTATGAAAATTTGATATATCAAGACATATCAGAAACACTTTTTCCATGTTCTCGATTAGATTTCTAATCATTTCGATCAAAAAAAATTGCGCTAGCTCTTTAGATCTTCCCGATAAATCATGAATCAAGTCGATTTGAATCCCGTGGTGGCCGCTAGATGGCATCGTTTGAAAAATCAGCCGATTTGCCAGTTTTTTTCGAGAATTTCAGATGGAAACATATATTTTTCCTGCTATGATATGAAAGTGAAGGGAACGAGAAGGAAAATGGTGAAAACCGCGAGTTGATACCTCTTGAAGAACCGGAGAAATACTGGGAATAATATTAAAATTTAAACTGTTAGCATGTCAAATGCCTCCTCATTCGTTATCGGCATTTTGACAAATAAGCAATCCACAGTGAAAACTTCCAATGGAACTTCAATAATATTTTGACGTTTCTTTCATTCAAAGCCAACTTGCCTTTTCTCATTCCAGAGCCTATACTCACTACTTACATTTCAATTAGCTATGTCAGTACTAAGAGTCTCCTTCACTATTTTGAGATATAACAGCAGTTTGTGAAACCAAAATGAATGAATTGTTGAAATCGTAATTCCATAGATACAGGATATTTTTTTTTATCGCTTGGAGCACACGAAAGGGAATCCCTATAATGTTCAAAGAACATCGTGCGTTCCTAGGGAGGATAGGGACAGGAGGTAGGTATTGGAATTTTTTTTGGACTTTTGGAGATTATGTGTGGTTGGGAATACTTCCACAGGCAATGAATTCCAGAGCCTAGCCGTTCTATGGATGAAGGAGTCTTGATAAAGTGCTGTTCGACATCTTTCGAGGTTGACAACGAAAGGATGTGCTGACTGGGCTTGTCTAGTTCGTCTGATTGGTATTGCTAGTGGAGGGATGATAGCAGAAATTTCCGAAGAACATTTCCCGTGGAAGTATCGATAGAAAAGTGAAAGGTCGCCGACCTTTCTACGGTGTTCCAATGATGTCAAAGAGTGAGTGAGTGTGGCGTCACCCACCAGGCGAATGGCTCTTCTCTGGATGGAATCTAAGAGCATCAGCGTATGTTTTGGTGCTGAACCCCATATGTGGGAACAGTATTCTAGAACAGGCCTTATCTGCGCTTTGTATATCATGAGAAGCTGTTGAGGTGTAAAGTAGCTTTTCGCACGGAACAAGAATCCGAGTTTTTGTGAAGCAGCTTTTGCGATGGATCTGACATGATTATTTCATGAAAGAGTATTGCTGATGGAAATACCGAGCATAGATATGGTGGGCTTGGTGGGGATGGTGGTGCCAGACATTACAATATCGGGCATACTGAGTTCCGCCGGATATTTCTGATGACGATTATTGAAGTTAGATTCCTGTGGTGAATATTTCCATAATATTATTTCGAGTATTTCACCGGTTCCTCAAGAGGCATCAATTCGCGGTTTTTCACCATTTTTCTGCTTTGCTCTACTTTGATATTAAAGTAGAATGAATATATGGTTCCATTTGAAATTTTCGAAAAAAATGGAAAATTGTCTGACTTTTCAAACGATGCCATCTAGCGGCCACCACAGGATTTAAATCGACTTGATTCGTGATTCATATGGAAGAACCAAAAAACCCTTCATAATGAGACCAAGATCGTTGAATTCCGTTACACCAAACTGTAGTGATGGGAGTTTTTTCAAAGTACTATTCATCCTTCTTTCCCTCTTTCATTTGAAGAGCTAGTGCAATTTTTCTTGATCGAAATGATTGGACATCAACTCGAGAACATGAAACAAGTGTTTTTGATATGTCTTGATATATCAAATTTTCATAAAATCCCGTTTATTAAACTGGCCAATGCAATTACGCCCTCTAGGGGCTGTCCTGGAAATTTGAAAATAATTTCCAGAGATTTCTCTTGGCCACTTTTATCATTCACATTTGTTTTCGAAGCCTGTGCGGCAAATAGTTTCCGAGATACAGCCGGCGTCTTTTCTTAGTGATACACCTGGTACATACTCAAATACCTATAAATACAAAATTATATATAAATGAACCCAGATATTTCAATCTAAAACTGCAACATATTCATTTTAAATACTGTCGTAGGTTAATCGAGGTGGTATATTCATTATTCCAAATTTTTTGGGATTTTCTCTCCTCGTTTCCATAAAATAAAAATATGAATATTATTTCAATATACGTGTAGTAAGGACATATCAGATGATTTGCCCCAAAATGTCACTGCGTTGAAAGAATTTTTCTTATCAGAGAGGCTAAAAGAAAAATTCACTAGCTTGTCACTGATAATTTGTATTGAAAAACGCTCCAAACCAAGAGAAATAAAGGTACATAGAAAAAATATCAAATTTTCACTTAGCTTTGGACGTTTCGGGAACGAATCTGCTCCCGTTTTCAACATAAATAATGGATATTTGATTAGCTCTCTGATAGGAAAATTCTTTTAACGCAGTGACATTTTGGGGCAAATCATCTGATTTGTCCTTATTACACGTATATTGAAATAATATTCATATTTTCATTTTATAGAGAGAAAATCCCAAAAAATTCGAAATATTGAATGTGCCATCTCCTCGCTTAACCTACAGACAGTATATTTTAATTCATTTTTTTGCCGTCCCAGTATGAATGTAAAAATGCAAAATCATATTAACTGGTAGATTTTTGGTATAAAGCTCACCATGATGTCGGTTTAAAAAATCAGTGGTCTCTCCCATTGCACTCATGGTATTACCCCTGACAATAGAAATAAGTATGTATCTCGGAAAATATTCTAAACAAGACGTTATCTCAGCAATTATATTTATTATTGCACTTAAACTGCTACTGCGTATTTCATTTCAAGTGAACAACAATACAAATCACGATATTTTCTGCTGTGCTGGGAACCTTCATGATAATGATGAGAAAATATCTTGAATACTAGTTACTTTTACTAAGAACATTTGCAGTTTTTCATTCATTCATTTTGTATTCAGATTACGATTGGTCTCGTATTATATCCCGACAACAATGTCTAGGTCGAGACCTCAAAGACGGCATGCTAAAATCTTGCGAATGCACTTCTATTCTTCCCATTACAGGCTCCAGACTATTATTATTGTCTTCAATGTCTTGACGTGACAGCAATCCATGGCGTGGAATAATAATGATATGAAAATGAATTATTCTAGACCTGCTGAATACGCTCTATGGGGTGAAATAATCTGTGAACCAAAAACTACCCCTCAACAATCCTACGAAGTAGGAAAATCTTGAACCAGTTGAAATTCCCGTTGCTCGAAGTTTTTTTATGGAAATGAATATATATACATATACAGGGTGATTCAAAAAAACCTAGCCCCCTTGCTAGGGTAGGTAGAACATTGCAAAATGAGTTGGGTTTACTCAGTAAAAAAATGTCGTAACGCCATCCGTTTTGTTGAAACTACTGGCAACATTTGATGAAATTTTGTATGGATGTTTTTTCTTCTAGAGGGCGCTAGTTAAACGGTTCGTACCGAGTAGGTTTGAACATAACTTTTTTGATGTTAGATTTTCCAATCCAAATTTGATGTGAACTTGAACATCATTGAATTTCACACTAAAAGGTATTTTCGGTAAAACTCGATACTGTGTTCCGTTTTCGGAATATTTCGATTTGAAAATGATGAAATGGTAACTGTTGCTGGTTTTATACCAGTATTATGAAAAATTATCACCTATTTATTGAAAACAGAAAAACAACAATACATTTCTGATGCAAAACTCTTTGATTTAACAATGAATCACAATAATATCATCGAAACAGATTTGACTAAGAACATGGATTACACAGTTTTTGTTGTATCTTGAGCAGAAAGTCTATGCTACATAGGTAAATTCACGTCAAGAGTTGTGAGTCATAATTGAACATCACTTAAATGACCTGACAGCTGATCCTCAACTGTTCAGAAGAATAATACATTCTTAAAAAAACAATATAGAATCGTGTATTCCTCGAAACGTATGAACATTTTGAACACTTACTCTAACTGATTCAATATTTCATGTTTCTAGTCAAATATCTCTAAATTTTCTACTTATGATTCTTTGTTTCATCAATAACTTCAGCACAAGAATAATTTTATTTTTTTTGAACCTGAATGAATAGGTAATTGAACTCAATAAAATTCATTTTATACCAGCATCATTACTACTCCATTATTTTCGAATCGAAATTTTCCGAAAACGGATCATAGTATCGAGTTTCACCAGGAGTACCTTTTTGGTGTAAAACTGAATGATGTTCAAGTTCATATCATATTTAGATTGAAAAATCTAACCTCAAAAAAGTTATGTTCAAAACTACTCGGTACGAATCGTGTAACTAGCGCCCTCTATGAGAGTCAGATATAAAAACAAATTCATGCGATGTGTCAGATTTCAAGAAACATCCATACGAAATTTCATTACAATGTTGCCAGTAGTTTCGGAATAATCGTGAAAAATGTGTAAAAAAATAATTTTTTCAACACCTTGTATCATGAAAACGGATGCCGTTACGACATTTTTCCACTGAGCAAACCCAACTTATTTTGCAATGTTCTACCTACCCAATGATATCATCAAATAATATATCGATAAATATCGACACCAAAGCATACACCGATATCGATCTCAATAAGTTTTCAATATCATCGCACACAAGTAGATAAGGCAACATCGCAGTCGTTCAAGCAAAATTGCATTTTTTGCTGTGTGACCAATGACGTCAGCAGAATGAGCCTATGAACAAAGTATAAAATACATATTGATGATTTTTCATAAACTTCACGGAGAAAGAAATCTTAGTATACTCGTCTCCGAGCTCGTCTCAATACCTATAAGGGAAATTTTCCATTTTGATTCTCATTTACAAACCTACGACACCATAAAAAAATACTTGAGTATTATGTCAATTAATTTGATATTTTTACCTTAATTTTGAGGCATATTCGCACTCAATTGTCGCTCGGTCCCGTACGAACTGTCCATATTTCTCAAGGAAATCGATTCCTTTCATCGTGTGCTGGGACAGATTGTCGTACTGGTCCTGAAACAAAAAAAAAATATCTTCAGAATCGTGAAAAAACGATATTAAACACAAAGTTTTCACAATAGTGGAAAGAACGATGGAATAGAGGCATTGGAGACTATTTGTTTGGTTACTATTACGGTAGGAGCCTTGGTAGGAACCATAACAATAATTTACTGAATGTTGTAGTAGGCAGCATATTGGCAGACACCTTTATCATCTCAATTCAATTACATTTTCTAATGGGCCAGTAATTTCACCAACCACGGACATCTTTCAGATTTTAAACTTTGAGAGCTCATCATAATTCATTAGTTCTTCCCAAAGTATAGTTATCAGTGTACAGGCTGTCCCATTCTCCATGTCCTCACGGGATGTCTCACTTATTTTCAAAGATAAAGGTTTGCGGTTTTTGCGAAAGTTCTCAACTTTTTAGTGGAACTCACGATATTCCAAACAAAATTGCCATAGCACGCTTTCTTTTTGAGCATAATTGAGAATGACCCCCATGTATCTCAACTATATTCCAACTTATCGAAAAAGTGGAAACTGTGTCTCATACATTTTTTGACGTAGAATACAGTAGCGTCTGGTTTCCAGAATAAGCTGTAATTATGCAGATATAACACAAAGTTATGTTGTTTTAATGGAACACCCTGTATATTTCTTTATATTTGAAACATTGATGCTCTGCGCTCTCCAAAAATATATAGTATTTATGAAAAATTTCAAGTATTAGCCTTAAATTTAGATAATTCCTAGTTTTTCAGTATATTTGTCTGTCAGAAGACCTTAACCTTGTGTGTGCGAGTGCTGAGTATTATTTGTTCATCCATGGGAGATATTTTTGTGATTTATCTATTGTGTTTATTTTTACATGTTTATACAGTGTGTCCCACTTACCATGCTCACCGTGGGTATCTTTTTAACGGTGAGAGATACGAGGTCGGTAAAATGACACCAAATGTGGAGTTTGTCAAGGCCAACTATAATGTGGAAAAATATTTCGATAAAATCTATTCGTATTTGTTTTATAGGCAAAAAACAGATTTTGATCATTTCCATGTCTCCTCCGTAACTTCTTTATTTATGAAAATATTCAAATAGGAATTTCACATTCTCATGGCAGTTTTTCATAGTGATTTCGAAAAAAATATGAAATTTATACCAACTCTTGTAGAATTTGAGATATCAGCACCAACTTTAGTTTTTCAAATGAAGGTCATAGCCACTATGACTTAGTTACAAATAACTTTTTCTTCTCTTACAGATGATATGTCGCAGTAATAGTTTTGTGTTGATAAGAACGGAGTTATCGTCATTTATACAAGAAAAAAAATTATTTGGAAGCCGCCATCTTGAATTTATAAATTTTAACAAAAAAATCATGGTCTCCGACCTCAAAAATCCCCAATTTTGAATGGAATAGGACCAAATCTTGTCCGCCATCTTGGAGCAGCCATTTTTTTTTAATTTCAACAAAAATTCCATAATGTATTTTCACCGGATTTACGAACATCTGCCAAATTTCAAGTTGACACAAAACTATTACTGCGACATATCATCTGTGAGAGAAAAAAAGTTATTTGTAACTAAGTCATAGTGAGCTATGACCTACATTTGAAAAACTGAAGTTGGTGCTGATATCTCAAATTCTAGAAGAGTTGGTATAAATTTCATACTTTTTTCGAAATCACATTGAAAAAATTCCAAGAGAATGTGAAATTCCTATTTGAATATTTTCAAAAATGAAGAAGTTACGGAGGAGACATGAAAATGATCAAAATCTGTTTTTTGCGTATAAAACAAAAACGAATAGATTTCATCAAAATATTTTTTCACATTATAGTTGGCCTTGACAAACTCCACATTTGGTGTCTTTAACCGACCTCGTATCTCTCACCGTTAAAAAGATACCCATGGTGTGCATGGTAAGTGGGACACACTGTATATGTCAATTCGTTGAGTGAAGCTATTATATACGAGTCGTCAGATTTTTCCGTAGAATTTCACATTCACACTTCCCATTCAGCCCCCCCCCCCCCTCCTGTTGAAAGGAGCACGACCCGCCACTGATCATATCATTATTATTGCGTTTTTCATCATCTGTTGAAAAACTCGGATTACTTGGAAGTTGGTGCCCGCATCCTAGAGGTCGATTTTTGCAATACCTACATTATTGAAATCGTATCGATCGAAGCGAAGAGAAACCGTATCCATACTCCCACAGCTTTCGCCGAATTTGAAAATGAAGAGGAGTGAAAACGAACGTATGTACCTATATACACTACACTACGAACGAGTATCATTAATAAGCATCCCACGTCATTTTCAAGTGGTTCTTGTAAGCACATACCGGCTATTTTCGAAGCAGTCAAGGACAGAGGAATAACCGCACGCTTTTGTTGGTTTTTCGATTATGCAAATGTCTCGCAGACGAGAGGTTAAATGAAATCTCCGAGGCATAAAACCTCCAGAATTTTAAGAAGAACACCAATTCCTTCCTTATTTCCCTTGGTTCTCGCGATGTTCTCTGAACATTACAGGATACAGAATAAGTTGTTTACCATCTCGTACAGGTCGGGTATTTTTCCATCATGCTGGAAGACAGCTAGAGTCCAACCAATTCCCAAAAAAGGGAACAAGAACCTGCCCAACAACTACAGGCCCATTGCCCTGTTATCAGTAATCTCCAAAGTAATGGAGAAAGCCATCAATATTGAGCTTATCAAATATCTGGAGAGCTCAGCAATCATCAATGATAGACAATATGGCTTTCGCCACCGAAGATCTACTGGAGATCTACTTGCCTACGTCACCCATTTATGGCAATCTTCAATGGAAAAACACGGGGAATCTCTAGCTGTCGCGTTGGACATATCGAAAGCATTCGACCGTGTTTGGCACGAAGGACTCCTCCACAAACTACCATCATACGGCTTACCACTTCAGCTATGCCATCTCTTATCAAGTTTTCTTTCGGGCAGATCGCTTCACGTGGTGGTGGACGGTGTATCGTCTGATACCATTGGCATCAATTCCGGCGTTCCACAAGGATCAATTTTGGCACCAACATTATTCCTGCTTCATATCAATAATCTGTTGGGAGTAACAACTTGCCCCATCCACAGCTTTGCAGATGATAGTACCCTCCATACTGCGTTCTCTTCCAGAATTCCCATTTCATCCCAAGAAACTAAGAACTCACGGCGCAGGCAGGTCAATGCTGTCAATGAAGATCTTGCTGAAATCACAGCCTGGGGAACAAACAACCTAGTTGAATTCAACGCCACCAAAACTCAAGCCTGCATTTTCTCTAGAAAGGCGGAACTCAGTATGCCCGATATTGTAATGTCTGGCTCCACCATCCCCACCAAGCCCACCATATCTATGCTTGGTATTTCCATCAGCAACACTCTTTCATGGAATAATCATGTCAGATCCATCGCAAAAGCTGCTTCACAAAAACTCGGATTCTTGTTCCGTGCGAAAAGCTACTTTACACCTCAACAGCTTCTCATGATCTACAAAGCGCAGATACGGCCTGTTCTAGAATACTGTTCCCACATATGGGGTTCAGCACCAGAACATACGCTGATGCTCTTAGATTCCATCCAGAGAAGAGCCATTCGCCTGGTGGATGACGCCACACTCACTCACCCTTTGACATCATTGGAACACCGTAGAAAGGTCGGCGACCTTTCACTTTTCTATCGATACTTCCACGGGAAATGTTCTTCGGAAATCTCTGCCATCATCCCTTCATTAGCAATACCAATCAGACGAACTAGACAAGCCCAGTCAGCACATCCTTTCGTTGTCAACCTTGAAAGTTGTCGAACAGCACTTTATCAAGACTCCTTCATCCATAGAACGGCTAGGCTCTGGAATTCATTGCCTGTGGAAGTATTCCCAACAACATATAATCTCCAAAAGTTCAAAAAAAAATTCCAATACCTACCTCCTGTCCCTATCCTCCCTAGGAACGCACGATGTTCTTTGAACATTATAGGGATTCCCTTTCGTGCGCTCCAAGCGATAAAAAAAATCCCTTTTCGTGGGAACCAGAACATAAAATAAAGGCAGATTGAGACCCCGGAGTCAAGTCACGTGCTTTCCGTGATATTAACTGAGGAGTAGGCAGATTGAGACCTCAGAGAAAAATCACTCCCCATATTTTACTATAACCTTTTCATTTCCAAATGTAAAAAGTGTAACATGCAAAACAACTGAGCAGCAATGAATAAACAAACCCTCGATGTTGTTGCCTACTTGTTTGAATTGTGATAACAGTACCACTTCCAAAACATACAGAGGTGTGGTTATGCAATGAATCAATAATGAACCACAATGTTGGACTAAACCGATATAGGTACCTAATCTGCAAACGCAATTAAAAAGAAGAGATAAGACTAGATAAGACGAATTTGAAAATCCACACGTGCCCACAGCAGTTCAATATTCGACCAAGATCAAAGTGAAGTGCGAAATCAAAATGAAATATGTCGTGCTGTCTATTTCAATCTTGACTTTGATCTCTGAAGCCGTAACAGAAAAAACTCCGCAAAAATGCGCATGTCCAAAAGAACTGGACCAACTCCGGAACGACATGAAAACACTGCAGGACCAAATCAAAGTATGCATGGTTGTGTCTTCTTTATACCTAGTGTGCTCAGTTGCGAATATCATAATGAACTATTTTTCATTGAGGGCGTTGTGCAGCAAACAAGAAAAGTGCATTGTTTTTTACGCTCTCACCGAATGGCTGACCATCAGATGTGTTTGTGACCAAGTGAAATCTATCAGAAAGAAGTTCGACAAATGGTTTATTAGTCTCGAGTAAGATATACATGGATTGAATGTGTTTCCTAATTTATTCACAACTGATGCCGGTGTGATATAGAAAATAGTATAATAATTATACTTGCTCTGTCCACAAACAGGTTTCCTGGAATAAGTGCATGTGGACGTAGTCGAAATTACTGTTTATTTTAGTGCGATGTTGAACCAAAATAAAT